GGAGAGTCATGGTCAGAATTGAAGTAAGACCCTTTTGTAGGTGCAAATTCGCATGTAAGTAGGTGCGCAGGAGGTATGATATCCAAGCACAAACCCTCGAGCTTCCGTCGGATGCTTTTAAAGGGCTTACTGGTTAGTATTAGCTGGGTATTAGTTCTATCCCTGGTGAGCCCTCTATTTATCTCTCTCTCTCTCTCTCTCTCTTTCTCTCTCTCTTTCTCTCTGTCTCATTCTCATACTCTCTCCCTTTCTCTTTCTCTATCCTCTCCATCCCTTTTTCTCATTCTATCGTTTCCCTTCTCCTCTTCCTCGTTCTATTCTGTTCCAACTACTCAGGCAGCTTCTTGCTTTTCGAATTCGTCGTTGAACTGTTATTAATTATTTGCAGCTATGGCATTGAAACGAGTATTAATCGTTAAGAAGAATTATCAGGAGTTTGAACATCTGTATATTATAAATTTCTATGTGAACGAAGTATACGTACTGCATTGATTTTAATTCTAATCAATAGTTAAAAAAATTGTTTTTGTATATAATCACTTACCTATATATATATCAAGTCACGAATCAATCACTTACCTATATATATATATATATATCTTACCTATAATTATATATATATCTATATATATATATATATATATATATATATATATATGTTATTATATATATATATAATTTCTATGGATATATATTTAATAAAAGAAAGAAAAAAGAAAAATATCACTTTTATCAATGATATCGTTTTAATTTAATACGAAAAATATTTTCGTTATATTTCGAAATAACTTTTATTTATCGAAATACATTTATCCAATTATGTGTAAAAAAGAAAAATTTGTACCGATGATATATTAATCTCAAATTGACAAATAGAAAATAAAAGAATAAAAGAGGCATGTAGCTTAGGTTAAACACATAGGTACCAGCTGTGCGTTATAAAAACAATTTGGTATGGATCTTTCTTGTAAAGTAAATCTTACTGGTGGCCGTTCATTGTTGGCCATCCGTCGTATCTTTCACGGCACCTGCTCATCTTCAAAGTGGAAGACAATCAGCGTGCGACAAGTCGGCTTAGCTGATCATTCAAGATCGGCTTCATAGTGAGGAAAAAAAAAAGGAATGGAAGAAGGAAAAGAAAATGGAGAAGAATAAAGGATTTAGGTTTCGAATTATCAGGTATAATAAAGGCTCTCTTTCGTTTCCTCTTGACCAAACAGAGAATCGAAAAAAAAAAAAGAAAAGAAGAAAAAGGGATGGATGGCTTTTCTCCTTCCTTAGCTATTCTTCTTTCTTCTGTGTTTCCTGCTGGTGTTTCCTGTCGAATAGAAAACGAAGGGGGGAAGAGAGAGAGAGAAAGAGAGAGAGAGAGAGAGAGAAAATAAAAGGAAAAAAGAAAGGAAGATAAAGAAAAAGAGAAAAAGAAGCAAAAGAAAAGAGAAAAAACGTAGGGGGCGCGATCAGTGGATAGTTTAAACCTGGTATTCCAACTGGTGGTCGTCTTTTACTATCCAATAGTGAACCTTTTACGATCGTCTCCCAAGAATTCTACGTGCCAAAGGAAATCGCTTTGGACAATAGCACAGGGATGACACGGCTGTCCCCACCTTACCAAACGTCTAGAAGAACATTCGACATCGAAAAGCCGAACTACGACTTCCGACGAGACTAAGGAACCAACCGAACTTCTTTTACGCTTCCTTACTATCGTAACCGAACTCCTCCTGCGAGGAGTCGAAGAACTCCACGGAGACTCTTTTTTTCTTTTCCATTCTTTTTTTCTTTTTTTTTTTTTTTTCTTTATACCTGAAAAAAGATCGATACTTAAGTTTCTCAGATAATACGAGCTCTTACGAGTTTGGGGTCACGCGTGACCACACAATCGTCTTCATTCAACTTTACAATATTACGAAATTTAAATATTTCAACGTGGTTTGGATTTCTTGTATTCTCTTTTTTCTTTTTTTCTTTCTTCTTCTTCTTCTTCTTTTTCTTCTTTTTCTTCTTTTTCTTCTTTTTTTTTTCTTTTTGTTCCTTTTACATCAAATTTTAACTAAACATTCACAATAATTAATACAATTGAATTGATGATGATGAGTGATATTAGATCGATGAATAAGTAGATAACGTGTGTCGAAATTATCAATAAGAAGAAAGAAAGACAAAAAAAAATATATATATATATATATATATATATATATAGTGTACACAATAGAAATCGTCGATTGTTTAGAATTAATATATTGAAAATTGATAAATCTAATATTGATAAGAATCTTACAAACACATTCGCTCGTTGGTCAAACTTATTATAGAGACGTGGATACTCAACATGGGTACATAGACGCAGACGGTAAGATTTACACTTAGGGTGTTATTCAATGTCGAGGAGGGTGGCAAAAGGGAGAAGGGCCAAACTTCCCTCAAGCGAAAGAACCCCCCTTGAGCAAAGCCGCACCCCTCTATCCTTCGTTCTAGAGGGTGGTGAACGTTCCTCCACCCCTCCCGAAACAAAACATATTGTCCGAATTTAATTGTGGATGGGGTGCATTAGATATTCATACGTTACATGTTCTACGACGCGTACAACAATATCCCGAGGAGTAAGAGAAAGAGAAAGAGAAAGACAGAGAGAGAGAGAGAGAGAAAGAGAGAAAGAGAAAGCACGTGCACGTCCTCGCGTTCAAGCTCGAAGGGTAGTCGTCAGAACGAATAAATCTCTCTAACGATAAACACTACGTTCACAACGTTGGCACATTTCATATGTACATATATAGATATCTATCTATCTAAACTTTTTTTTTGTAGATATATTTTAAGATTTGAGAGTACTTTTATTGTTCGATAATTAAAAACTAATAATATAAGACATTATTTTGCTTTTTTTTTGTTTTTTTTTTTTGTTTATTTATTTCACGAATTAAAATGTGCTCTTTAAATATATACATATAAACAAATCGGAAATACGAGGATCGTCAATTAATGTCAATTAAAACGTTCACGTGTGACATTAGTATTTTTATAGAAAAGAAGAAAGAAAAAATAAATAAATAAATAAAAATAATTAAATAAATAAATAAATAAATAAATAAATAAATGAAAATACATTCATAAAGAAATCAATGTGAATTCACGAATTTCGTAATTCGAAGAATGAAGATTAAATCGTAATAGGATGAAGTGGGAACGATTAAATTATTAGATCGACGTAGACTCGAAATCCAATCGTCGGCTATGACGATGTACCCTCATTGGCCCTTGGGAGTAAACAAGAGGCGATCGATGGACCCATCGAGGGTGGAATCGAGTGTCTACATATATATCTATCTATATAGAGGATACGCAGACATCGAACGCTCTATAAACTCTTTTGTAATCCGCGTCACGAAGTGACGCCATTAACGTGAACCCTTTTCCATTCACGTAATAAATTTTTATGTAGATACTTGGGTAATTTTTCGATAGAAAAATGAAAAATGAAAAAAGAAGAAGAAGAAAAAAAAAGTAGAAAAAAATAACCAACAATATTTACAGATAATTTCATTAGCTGGATAATTTCGATACGGGGCATCTGTTCATTTAAAATAATTTATAATTAATCAAAGATTTACACATAACACATACACACATATATATATATATATATACATATACATATAAATGTATAGGTATAAGTATATATTCCCGCGAAAAATTCTTTTTTCCACTTTAACCTCATCGTTCGACCATAGAAAAGCGCAAAACGATGCGAGAGCAACCATTTTGCACGCGTAGCGAGCCGTTTCAAAGGTTCGCGCATAGAAGAAAGTACGAGAGAAGAAGGAGTAGGAGTAGGAGGAGGAGAAGGAGAAGGAGAAGGAGGTGAAGGTGGAGGTGGAGGATAGGCGTCCTGAAGAAGGAGGAGAGAAGAGGAGAAGAAAAGAAGTCACTTTCTTACTTCCATTCTTAAGAACGTTCTCTCGAATTCAAGTTGGGTGATACCTTCGGCCACCATCACGAGCTCCCCTTACCCCCCTCCATTCTCACTCATCTTCCCTCTCCATCGTTCCGTGGGTTGGAACTAAGCTAGAGTTGAACGTGCTGCGTGCCAGATACTACTCAACTCAACTCAACTCAACTCAACTCAATTCAATTCAATTCAATTCAACTCTACTCTACTCTACTCTACTTATTTGACATCTTGTCTCTCTCTCTCTCTCTCTCTCTCTCTCTCTCTCTCTCTCTCGTTTTCTCTTTATACATTTTCATTTCTATTGTCTTCGATCCCACGAGAATTTAATACTTGTCTATATATCGGAGGAAATCAATTTTGACGAAATCATCAATATTTAATTTATTCCTTCCGTCATACTCGATAATATTCGAATAGGATTAATTATCATTGATATTACGTTTATCTTATCGTATCTTACTCGTAATTATTTATAAAGTATTTATTATAAATAAATGTCATTATTATATTTTATCCTAAAAATAAGTAAACGGTGGATTAAACGTTTAAGTGATAATTAAGTCCGGTTAGTTTGGGAAGATAAGTTTGCCGCAACTAATGTTGGAACAAAAAAACAAAACAAAAAAAATGATACAGAAGGAGAAGACGAGGAGAAAGGATGTCGTTGGGACATTTCGTAAGAGAAAGAGAGATAGAGACAGTGATAGAGATAGAGACAGAACAGAGAGAAAGAGAGAGAGAGAGAAAGAGAGAAAGAGAGAGAGAGAGAGAGAGAGAGAGAGTGAGTACGACACGCGACGTATCCCACCGCCTCGACCTGCCTCGTATCGACTAGCACGCCGGTAGAACCAATCAACGTGCGACGTAGGATGGCCGTCGTTGAAATGGCCACGCCTATCTCATCTCGAGATTGGCAGTTGCGCTTATCCAAGTCGTCTGCTACCGTGAGCTTAGTGGCCGGGCGAACAATTCTGGTGGGGATATCCACGGCCGAATGCAACTCGGCACGACTTCGGGATAACCGAAGCCCTCGAGCTCGAGCCTTTCGTGCGCGGCACACTCCCAAAACTATCGTTCGTGGGGAAGGATCGACGCTGCCGTGTACTTCCTACGTGCTTCTCCCTCGTGCTTCTCGGACGTTTCTTTCTTTATCTCTCTCTCTCTCTCTCTCTCTCTATCTCTATCTCTACCTCTCTCTCTCTCCTTCTCTCTCATTCTCTCTTTCTCTCCTTCTCTCTCTCTCTCTCTCTCTCTCTCTCCTTCTCTCTCCTTCTCTTTCTCTTCCTCATTCTCTCTCCTTTTTGCATACGTTTCCTCGTTAAATTATTTACTTCCTTTACTTCTTCTTCATAACGCGAATTCCTATTATCATCGACGGAAGGTAAAACAACGAATTTGAAGGATGCGTCGGATAACGTGACTCGTCAGTTTATTCGTTCGTTCGTTCGTTCGTTCGTTCGTACGTACGTTCGTTCGTTCGTTCGTTCGTTAGTTCGTTAGTTCGCATTTCTTCTCTTCTTCTTCTCGCACACGACCTTGTGCTATACGATCAACAAAAAACGACGTTATATTAGATACGTATGTATATCGTGGATTACATGTTGTTAACCTCGGAAACGTGAAACAAGTGTTAAAATTTATTTTCTTATGGACCAAGCCGATAATTATTTACTCCTAGTGAATATGATCAATCCGGTAGTGCAGTGACTTCCGTTTGTTATTATTTGTTGTTTGTTGTTGTTTCGTTATATTCCCGTTTAATTGAAGGTCTGAGACGTTAAGTCTCAACCAACGGCAACAAAATTGAGCTGGACTTACATCAACGTGCCGCCGGCCACTATATGAGGTTTGTTTAATATAATTTATTTCATACGATATATCCAAATATCATTTTATTTCTATTTGTTTCGTGTTAAATTTTTAATATGTCATAAACAATGTCTCTTCATTTTTGTATTTTTGACCTTACGAAAGATCATCTATCTCATTTCTTGTCTTTTGTTTTTTTTTCCTCTTCTTTCTTTCTTGTTTTCTCGATACGATTCATTTACGTATAAAATAAGTAAGTTCGATACATTTTGAAGAGCAATAATAGAAGAAGAAGAAATGTTTGTTTACATGTTACGTAGTTGACATTGCGTAGCAAATAAAAACAATAAACGCAATAAGATCTCTTAGCGTTTCACCTGAGAATATTTGTCGAATATATATATATATATATATATATATATATATATATATATATATATATATTACGCGTTATAATTTACGATTTTTTTTTTACTCATTACGATTATTACTTTTGTTCATGTCTCAAATAAACACGTATTATACTTATGCGTCAATTACTGTGGTTCGAAAAAAAAAATAAAAAAAGAAGAGTGAGAGAAAAGGAAAGAAAAAGATAATTTTACAATTTACTAAAGGAGAAAGAGAGAGAGAGAGAGAGAGAGAGAGAGAGAGAGAGAAGAGAGAGAGAGAGAAAGGAAAAGACAATGAAAATTAGGAAAAAGGGAAAAGAATGAAAGGAGAATGCGTCTCGTAAAATGAATATTTGTAATCTCTAAAAAAAATAAAACATTATTTACCAGCTTCATTTCATTCGAAACAATTACTTTGAGAAGCGACGGTAGAAAAGTATTCAAGAACGTGCGCGTGTTCGCGCATAATTCGATCGTAAAGACGTAAAAATAAATGAAAATATAATAAATTGTTCTATTCGTACGGATTATTGTTTCAATTCATCGTGTTTATCCTGTTTAGATGTTCAATGCCGTTCATTTGGTTGATAATGCAAAACCTCGACGAAGCGAACCGATAAGAAAACAATATATATATATATATATATATATATATATATATATATATATATACAAATTAAACATTGAAATTGGTGAAAGTTAAACAAGCAAGTAATGTTAAATCGAGCGAACGATAGCAAATTCGTACTTAGTTAGATACCTGCTTGTTTACTTTAATCTCGATCGTAAATAAAGGAGCGTAAAAAAAAGAAAAAAAAGAACGAGAAAGTAAAAGAGAGAGAGAGAGAGAGAGAGAGAGAGAGAGAGAGAGAAAAAAAATAATCGGATCGCACGTATCGCATTCACGTGGTGGGCCATGAAAAATGTGCGAATCGAATCACGATTTCTCTCTCTCTCTCTCTCTCTCTCTCTCTTTTTTCTCTATACCTATCTCTCTTTCTCCCTTGAATGGAGCCACTTCAGTCGAAATCATTCGAATCGTTTGATAGATATCCGCTGTGCCGTGGCAAAACATTCAATTAGCGCTTCCTAATGCCCCCCTAGAGCGCTTCTTGACAACAACCATTACTTCCAGCATCTTCTCGGCGACAAACCAAACGTAACCCTCCTATTTTCTCTCTTTCTTTCTCTAGTCATCGAATTCTCCCTTTTCTCGACGAGAGTACCCACCACTAAAGCTCGAACCCACCCGAATACCACCCCACCCCACTTTACCCCACCTTACCCCCAAAACCGCCTGCCGTCCTCCTTCTGTACCCACGTTAACCGACGTATCTATTAATCCTCGTTGAATGACACTCGAGGGTGGCTCCCACTGAGGGTGATTTTAACCCTACAAAATCGTAACTACAGCCCTGAGCTCCTCCTTTTTCTCTTCCTCCCTCCTACGACCGCTATACCTTTCTTCTTCTCTTTTTAATGAATACTCAAGGAGAGATACGCGTGGTAATTGTGTTAATGAAAGAGAGAGACGGAGGGAGGGAGAGAGAGAGAAAGAGAGAGAGAGAGGCAGGTATGGATATGATGTGGTAGAGAAGATAGAAAAGGAACGGCAGTCGACTCTCTTCTCGGTAAACCCTTCGCTTTAGGGGTGACATTTAGGGTCTAAAGAGAGAGAGAGAGAGAGAGACAGAGAAACGAAAAGGAGTTTGACATCATCCATTCGCGATCTCGCTAATGCGTGCAATCCTAAATATACTCAGATTGTTTGATGACTTTAATATGAGAAAAAGATAAAATTTAGTTATTCCCTAATCGAGAATGGAAACGAATAAGAAATTAATCATTGAATTATGAAGATAATCGGTGTATGCATCATTTTGTTCGTTTCTTTAGAAATCCTTTCTTCTTCTTTACTTCTTCTTTTTTCTTTTCTTTCTTTTTTTTTCTCTCTTTTTTTTCTCTCTTTTTTTTTTTTTTTAACATTCGATTATTCGAAGGATCAACAGGATCGTAATTAAGAAATATTACATGGGTATTTGAAGAACTTATTGTATGAATCAATGATAATATTAAAAATGTAAATGGACAGAAACTTAGATATTTATTTATCATTAATATTATCCTGTCATTTCGATAGGCGAAATTGTACGTGATATTTATTTTAACGTAGATTTTAACGAAGAAAGAGAAGAAAAAAAAAAGAAAAAGAAGAGGAAGAGGAAAAAAAAATGATAAAAAATGATAAATTATAATGTCAAAGGTTCGAAGAAATAATATTCGAAAGTCATCCGATGATAATTGACAATCCGTAATCGTAATGACCGTGAAGTCGTAACCCGTTTCGTCGCCCTTACTAATTAGCGTCTCGCGTTTAATTACAGAGCCGGCGGCAACATGTGTGATGGCTCGTTCACGGACAGCCTACGTGGTATGCAGGGTATGCCTGGTACATCGCCACCGGGTGCCACAGGGGTCGGTCCCATGGGGGTTGCCCTTGGCAGCCCTCTTGGCCCTGCAGCCGTCAAGAAGGCACAGGTCGAACACATAAAACGACCTATGAATGCTTTCATGGTTTGGTCCCGACTTCAGCGACGGAAGATAGCTCAGGAAAATCCGAAGATGCACAATAGCGAAATTTCCAAAAGGCTTGGTGAGAATTTAATTCTGTTTTTTTTTTTTGTTTTTTGTTTTTTGTTTTCATTACGAAAATTAATAGATACTTTTTTTTTTACTTTTTTATTTTTTGTTTTTTTTTTTCGTTTTTTGCTTTTTTTGTTTTTCCTTAATGCTCGTGTTAATATAATTACATAATACTTATTCATTGAAGAACTAACGATTAATTATCGTATCGCTTAAGAAACTTTGCATTATGTAAATATATATCAATATATGTATGTATCGTACGTTGAATTGATCTCTTTTAAATCTCTCTCTCTCTTTCTCTCTTTCTCTTTCTCTTTCTCTCTCTCTCTCTTTCTCTTACTTTCTTTCTTTCTTTCTATATACATATATATTATAAGTTTAATATCATTGAGTTAATACATTTATTCGACAGAAATATCGGAAAATATTCTTCGCTAAAAGGTCTTATCCTGTGTAAATACTTTATCGTTGACCAATGAAAAGTGAATACTAATATAATAATTATAATTAATATGATTCGATTGATGGATCGAAAAAATTAATTAGTTACAAATTTGGCAACTGAACGAAGATTTATCGACAGAAGACTCTCTGCCGTTCTTGCAAAAAACAAAAAAAGAAAAAAAAAAAATAAACGTTTCCTTTTATTCCTTTCAAAATTCATTTTCAATCGTTCCTTCCGTCCATACCGCTGGTCCATTTTATTTCTATCTTTAATTAAATTCCACGAATTGTCAAATTCGTCTTATGGTCATTTATTTTATTAATTATTGTTACGAAGATATATTTACATTGTACGTGTAAGAAGATTATAATGTAAGAAATCGCTGATCACATTAAAGGTGAAAAAAATTACTGCGCTTTTTTATTTATCACTTTTCTTTTTCTTATTTTTATTTTTTGTTTTAACTTTTTTATTTTTTATTTTTTTCTCTTTTTTCTTTTTTTTTTTCTTCTTCGTTTCAACGTGCGACGATAGATAAAAGAAACCAAGATGAAGTAACAAAAACGTAACTGTAATCTTTTAACAGTTTGGTCGAGCGACTTGGGGTGGGTTGAGGGGAGGGTGGGTATGGCGCGCGCACTTTTGCTCGCACGTTTTCGAACAAATGCCAAAGGGGGCGGAAGTAGGGCAAGGTGCAAGTGCTACGGAAAAATAATTAAAAGGATCTCGGCATAGGTAGGTAGGTGGTATATCTCGCGCGAGTCGACTCTTCTAAGGTAAAACAGTTGCTTTCTTTCTTTCTTTAGTTTTTTTTCCCTCCTCTTTTTTTTCTTTTCTCTTTTTTTTTTTCTTTTCTTCTTTTTTATTTCTTCTTTGTACTTTTCGTCGCTGTTGTTGTTTTTTTTTCCTTTTCTTTCTCTTTTTTCGTTTTCTCTTTTTTTTTCTTGGTCCCCTCGCCCCCCTTCCCCCTCCCCTATCCCGCCCTCTTTCCTTCCTCCTTTCCCTTTCCCTTTTTTTCTCCCTGCCGACGTTCTGTGTTTCCGCGCGTAATTCCGGCGTCCTCGAGCGCCGACGTTAGGTATTTCCAGTTAGGTAGGTACTTTTGAAAAAGCGCGAACTTTTACAACGTTAAAATGCTTTTTCCTTTCTTTCTTTCCTTCTTCCTTTTTTTTTCTTCTTTTTTTCCTTTTTCCTCTCTCTCTCTCTCTCTCTCTCTCTCTCTCTCTCTCTCTCTCTGTTTTCCTTTTCTTTCTACGCTTTGTAAAGAACAAAAAAGAAAAACAACAACGACAACAAGAATAACAATAACAACAACAACAGGAATAACAATAACAACAACAACAACAACAACAACAATAACAATAACAAAAAGAAAAGAAAGGAAAGGCAAAGAGAAATAAAAATGCAAGACGAAACAACGTAGATGGTAGTAATAGTAATAGTAATAGTAGTACCTATCCACTTAGTCGCGTTCGTATAAAACGCGAAATTTACGATTAATGCAATACAATTTGTTGTACATATATATATATATATATATATATGTGTGTGTGTGTGTGTGTGTGTGTGTGTGTGTGTATGTATGTATGTATTTAAATACAAAAATCTTAGACAATTTTATATGTTTATATGAAAATTTACGTTCCACGGAATTGATTTAAAGGCGAAACTAAAACAAGCACATTTACATCTCATATCTAAGTAAAATGCAATAGAAAGTAGAAAGAGAGAGAGAAAGAAAGAGAGAGAGAGAGAGAGAGAGAGTAAGTAAAACGATGGAAAAGGAGGATCTCCCGAGTAAGAAGGGGTGAGTCTTGTACGGCATAGGAGAGGGTAAAAGATGGGCGAGAACGAAGGTATTCCGGCTGGTATTTCCGTTAAATACCGAGTATTCGACAAAGGGATCTTCCCGCAGCACCCCTCGAGCGCTTCTTTATCCGTCATTTTCTTCCTCGCCTCCTCCACTTCTCTCTCTCTCTTTCTCTCTCTCTTTCTTTCTCTCTTTCTTTCTCTCTCTCTCTCTCTCTGTAACCCCCGTTTTTCGCTCCCTCGACGACGACGAATAAGGGAAGTGCCTCCTCCTCGCTAAATATGATGCGCGCACGCTCGAACCTCCTGCCTTTCCTCCTCCTCCTTCTCCTCTTCTTCTTTCACTCCCTACTCCATCTTTACCCCTTCTCTCTTTCTCTCTCTCTCTCTCTCTTTCTTTCTCTATTTCTTTCTTTCTCTTTTTCTATCCTTATTCGTTGCCTCCCTCTCACACTCTTTGTCGACGCGACACTCTTTTCGTCGCTCTTTTACCGCCGTATACCTGGCACACCGTGTATAGTTATACGTTGATATATACGGAAAAGCTGAGTTAGAGAGAGAGAGAGAGAGAGAGAGAGAGAGAGGGTGGTTTTTCGTTAGACGACGATGTATAGCTTAGCTGTCGCGACTCTGTACTCCCCTTGTCGGAACATTCGTAAATTTCATTTTTCTCTTTCCATCTTTCTCTAGCTTTCCTTTCGTCTCTTTTTTTCTTTTTTCTATTTCTTTCTAGACGTATTTGGTGCCACCCCTTGTGCTTCTTCTCTGTCTCTCTCTGTCTCTCTCTCTCTCTCTCTCTCTCTCTCTCTCTCTCTCTCTCTCTCTTTCTCTGTCTCTTTTTCTTCTTTCCTCGACACACGTCAAATTTCTCGAACACAGATAGGTAGGTGAAATTTCATGAGCGTTCCTTTCGATAATTTCGTAAAGTTTACGACGTTTTAGAAAATTGGACAAAAATGTAATATTCTGCAGTACGTTATTAGCGAAGAAAATTGAATGAAAAAAAAAAAAAAAAAAAAAAAAAAAGAAAAAAAAAGAAAAAAAAACAAGAAAAGAAAAAGAAAAACAAAAACGAAAAAAAACATATAGAATATTTTAATATTCTAACAAAAAGAATTTATTGTTAATTTCTTCATTTAATGAAATATATCTTCGACTGTAGTATTTAATTAAATACGTCAATATCTTTTATCCTCGTGAAGTATAATTAATATTAGCGTACTATAAGACGGACATTGGATTTATTATTAAGATGTTACGTACGTTATATACATACCTATGCATTTATGTATATACGTATGTATGTATATATATGTAACTAGTCATGAACGTAAAATGGAATACAAACGGCAGATTTGTAGAGATGCTCGAAAGAAGAATTATCTCTTGCTAAGCATTTATGTTCTTCACTCGCTTAACGTGGCTTAGGCACGATTTTATTGCGTCGATTAGAAGATGACGATACAAGTCTTTGAAGTATTCAAAGTATTTCTCCATTTTCATGGCGAACGAACGAGGTAAGAGCCAATAGGGAAAATGAAGAGAAACACACAGATGGAAAAGTGACGAGAAAAGGAACATAAATTCGTAACGAAATGGTCCATTGGGAAACGAAATGGTCGAAGCTAATCTCCTTATTGGACTTTGATGTAGTCAAGTATATAATATACGTATACTTTGCAAGTTTCGAAAAAGGCTTTATTATGATTACAGCGATAGATATTGCATTAGATTAACTTCATGTGAAATATATAGATATATGCAATATATATATATATATATATTTTATAGTAATAAACTCTTTAATCTTATAACAGTAAACTTTTATGTCTATTAATCAATTCAACATAAAATTGGTTTACGTATATTAAATAATTTTTGAAAAATAATATCAACGATTGTTCATTTGAAATATAAACAATGTATACGTACAAAAAATAAATTCATATATGAGTAAAGATTTGAATGAAATAAAATGACGTTCGCTTAGATATCAAAGATATAAGAATTTGTTCTCGTTAATATTCGCGAGATCCGATTGAAAATGGAAAAAGGGAAAGAAAAAGAAAAAAAGAAAAAAAGAAAAGAAAAGAAAAGAAAAGAAAGGAAAAGAAAAGAAAAATGAAAAAGTAAAAAAAAAAAAAAAGAAAAAAGGGAAAAAGAAAAAACAAGAAATACGCGAGCGAGTAAAGTTCTCCTTTACAGGCCAACACTAATCCAAGATTCTTTAGAGACTCTCTCATACGTCTTTGCATCGATCGACGTAATTCCCATTCTTCTCGTCTATCTGAGAATACTCCCTCTTTCTCTACCCCTCCCTCCACCCCTCAGCCCTACCCCCTCTCTCTCTCTATCTCTTTCTTACCCTTTCTATCTTTCTCTTTTCTTTTTTTCTTTCTCTTTCTTTTCCCTTCTCTTCATTTTTGTCGGCCATCGTCTAAAATACCCCCAATGCATTGTCGTCTCTAAGCTAAGCGTATGCACGTGCGCGCGCGCGCGCGAGCGCACACACACACGTGCAAGTAACTTTTACAAAGAGTGAAAGAGCGCGAGAAAGGAATTGGGAGGTGGGGGAGGGCAGAGGAGGGATGGAGCGAGAGGGTGAGAGGATAGGTTGGAAGGCAGAGAGGGAAAAGGAGGGAGGAAGTTGATAGGGTGGTGTGGTACAGTGATGCGGTAGAGATGTAGGAGTGAATGGGGTGGTAAGAAGAGGACGAGCAGAGAACGGAGCGTAGAGAAGGTGCACCGTGCGT